CAGCAAGGTGAACATGGCTAATGACGAAGCACTGCATCATTCAAATGGCCAAAATAGTGACAGCCAGATGAATGACTTGGTAGTGGAAAGCTGGTTTTGTATTCTCGTGCAGTATTTTCTTCATTATATCAAACACAAACATCTATGAGTATTTTCATGCCAAATGTTCTTGATACACAAATGAGTCAAAGCAAATCTCAGGAGACATTTAGGAACTGACAGATAGTTTACTTTTTATAAATAGCACACTAATAGAAACAGGTAATTAATGCTGTCAATCACTGATCTGCATTTTCCACACTTCACCTGTGGGAGATGTGCACTTATGTGAATATATCCTCTGACATATGATTGCTTAGAAATATCTTCACTGCTGTGTGTCCCAAGTAATATTTAAACTCCTTCATACCAATTTTCCCTATGCTTTCATGGTGGGTATAATTATTTTTCTAATCCCAAGATTAGATATCATATTACAACGAGTAACTAACATAATGTTTCTTTGTTTTAAAGTATTAATTTTGTTCTTTGTATTATGATATTTAAGAAATGCTACCTTTCTTCTACCCATTAAGGGATAAGCATGTGAGTGGCATATAGGATATCTAATTATGTCCCCTTCAACAGGGGACAGATGATATTAACTGGTTGACCAATAAAAATAAATGTGACCTTGTTTCTGTCCATGTATGTAATACCTGTGTGTCCTAGAGTTGGACATCTACCATCTACACAAACAGAGTACCACCAACATCCCCATTACAAAGTTATCAAAAGCACGACCAGATCACATCAATTTTCTGCCCTCGCTCCCTACATTCTTGGTACTCCATCATCCATGCTGTAAATGATTCGGCATGTCATTAAAGTTCTTTAATGTATATTCTACTGCCCCAGACTGTAAATGAATTAAAGCAAAAATATTATTAATAATCTTGTTATAGCTCTGATGGCATATTATAGTGCTTACAGTTAACCTGGGCTTTGAAACAGTTATGTGTTCAATCAAGGAACAGATGGATGCCAACAACTTTAAGACTCTAAGCAACCGAAAAGTATCAGGGCCTCTGTTTAAAAAAGGCACTCTACTCCTTTTGAATCAGACACTATAGCCAACATAAGAAGCCAACACAATTTATCTTCATTTTCAATTTATGTTCATTTTCACAATTTATCTTCATAATTTATTTTCATTTTCATTTTGGTGGAAGTTGACTAGCATGCTCCTTGACAGTGAGAAGAGAACGTGCTTCCTTTCATGCTGTGTTCCATATACACAGTGATGATACCAGGAAGACGCCCATGGATCTGTGTTGAACTACTGAGTGATGTGTCAGACTAAGGATACTTTCTAGATTTTTTTGTGGTGTAATATGTAAGATTACATGAGGTTGGTTTGATTGCCTTATCTTTTGATTAACAGAAACACATGCTGCCTCCATCACCCCCAAATTTGGACAGTTACAAAGAGAATAAGAATGGTGTAATGGCTCTTGAACTTGGTATAATTGTTTGCTTATTAAGGAAATCCTTTGTCTTAGCCAACAAGAATTCTCTAATTAAACAGAATGAATACAAGTTTCAGGACTATTTTGCTCCTCCTTGATCCGATTTTACTAACACTGTCATAATTATATATGCATGAAAATTAAGTCTGAGTGTGTAGGGAAAAACATATTAATATAGTTTGGAATTTAAATCTCTATATATAGGTAATCTAAATAAAAGTATGTGTAACAATTTTCTATAAGAAATCTGATACAGTGGTAAATACCTTCAGGTTAAATCAGGAAAACAACAGTGCATATTTGCTTAGCTGGTATGTTACTGATTTTGACTGTCCCTCACAGCAGAATCTAGATAGTCCCTTTCCCTGTTTCTTTGTATATATGTACGTGTGTGTGTGTGTGTGTGTGTGTGTGTGTGTGTGTGTGTGTGTGTGTGTGTGTGTGTGTGTGCTTGAGTGAGAGAGAGAACAAGGGGGGAGGGAGGGAGGGAGGGAGAGAGAGAATGTGTGTGTGAGGCTGCAATCTTCTGTGGCACTGCAGAGGTCAGAGGTTAATATTAAGAAGTTTTCTTCAATCAACTCCCCACCTTATTTTTTGAGATAGATAGATTTGCCTCCTGCAGTACTGGTATTTCCGGTATTCTGTGACACAAGTGACTTTTTATTTTGGCATGGATGCTGAGGATCTAAACTCAGTTCCTCACGCTTAACACAGCAAGTGCTTTACCCTCTGAGCCATCTCCCCAGCCCCTCTTTCTCTATTCCTTAAAATATCAAGATTTAAATTTGTTTGACTCTCTGTCTTCTCTGCTAAATATGACGTTTCTATGGTGATTTCTTGCAACATTCTTGTTTTCTCATTTTTCTTTTTCTTTTGTGAGTCTATAATGAAAATAGAGAAATACTTTGAGAATTGTCCCTAAAGCATAACAATAGTCTTGCGTTGTGGGAGATGCAGAGAGAATGAAGATGAGCCAGTTTGTTTTTGGCATCACAACTTACTGAAATCATATCTTCTATAAACCATTCAAATATGGATCTGTTATTCTTGATTAAAATAAATGCAGCATTTTTGTCTTAAATTTTCTATTCTGCTAACTAGACTCCATACGTTCGTCATTTCCAGTTCAGATAAGGAATTTCTTGGTTTTTTTTTTCATTGTGTTATTGGCACTTTATTAAAGACAAAAGGAGCTATTTTAAAGATAGATATGAAACTGTTCTTTCCTATAAACTTGACTTCCATTGCTTCTACAAGATAAGTTAGTTGATTCCTTTATTAACTTTTTAATTTAAAAGACTACTTCTTTTATTAAAAGGCTTAAGGAAAAAGCACAGTCATTGATTTATGGATTTTTGTAATATAAATCCCACTCATCTACAATCTTTGTTCTATAATTTCTATTCAGACATAATTCCATCCAGTAGCACTCCATGTGACAAAAGCTGATAAAAACGCGGCTCTCTCAGGCAAGCCCAATGCGGTGGCAAGGCTGTGGCACCTCTTGGAACTTTCCAGTGCGGCTGAATCTGAGAATTATTCTTTTTTTCTTTTCCATGATTAGCAAATTTAATGTTTTAGAATACAAAACTAACTTCATTAGGGAGAGGTTATGTTTTATTTACTTCATAATTCTGTTGAATTCATAAAGGCATGAGAAAAGTGTTTGAACCTTTCTTTAACAATTCCCTTAACCCAATATCAATGACAGGAAATTGGATCATTTTAGAGTTTGTGTTACTAAGAATTACAAAGAACCAAAAACAGATCCACACATAGTAAATCAACCACTGAGTGAAACAGTAGAGTGTGTGCTGTTATTCTTGTCTTAACTGTCTTATCCTGTCTTAACTGTCAAACCATTTCTCAGAGAATACTTGGGCATAGCACACCTCTATATTTTACTTGAGGAAAAATATGTATATTTAGACTGGAACTACATAATTAAGAGAAGAATTATTCACAAATCACTTTTAACACAGTTTTCTTTTTGTTTCTTTTGTATCCTGATTGTTAAATCTTGATCTACCTGCAGAAGAATACAAGTTTAACACAAATCCACTACTTTTTATTCTGTAACCTTGACATTGAGGTGTACCCAAACTCTGTAACATTAACCTGCTAAATATATTATAATTTCATTGTACTTTTGAAGTACACAATTAAGCATCTACAATCATAAAGATTTCCTACAGAACTCATGTGCCACAGATCTTACTTTTCTATACTGAAGTAACTTTACTTTCCAAGACAGTCTATATGTTGAAGGTATTTTTTCAAGAAGGCATTGGCAGAACCTCAATTGTATTTACAAAATATAAGTAGAAAAGTAGAAAACCTCCTTTTGTGGCATATCACTTCAGTTATGGTTGAGTTAATCACTAAGAAGGAAAGACTCTTATGAAAGTTAAGACAAGCAGTCTAGAACAAACTGACAGAGTAAAAAGTATCAAGTGTCACTACAACTTAAGTAAGGACTTTAATGCTCATTTTCCCCAATTCAAAACACCAGACTTTGGTGTTCTAAACTTCATTGTGCACATAGATGGTCCACGACATTATAGGCCAGTTGCCAGTGTCTTCATGTTAAGTCTGTAACAATTTTGGACTCTGGGATCTACAGCTTCATGTAGGACTACAAAGCATAACTGATTATGTATACCAAACTAGTTTAAATCATTGTTGAATAAGTGACTTACATAACAAATCATTCTTTGCATACTGTAAAAATAAAAATTAATTATCATGAACAACTCTTTAAAATAGCCATAATTAAGAAAACAGCAAGTAAGCTGGGCATGGTAGCCCACGTCTTTAATCCCAGCACTCAGGAGGTAGAGGCAGGTGAATGTCTGTGAGTTCAAGGCCAGCTTGATCTACATAGAGAGTTCCAGGACAGCAGGGCTACAGGGAGATCCTGTCTCAAAATGACCAAAAAAACAAACAAACAAAAAAAAAACAAAACAAAACAACAACAAAAAACCCTGAAGAAATCAGCAAGTACAGAAAAGTATATTTCAAGGTAGTTTTTCCAGTTGAAATAAAATTTTTCTTACAGTTTATTACTTGATATCTGATCTGAATGTATACTTTTAAAAATATCTTATTTTTCTTTTACATTCATGAGTATACTGCATGCATATATATGAGTGTGCCCATACCGACGTCAGAAGAGAGTGTTAGATTCCCTGGAACTGGAATTAAGGATGCTTCTTAGCCACCATATGGGTGCTCGTAATCAAACCCAGGTCCTCTGCAAGAGCAGTCAATGCTCTTAACTGCTGAGCCATCTCTCTAGCTTCCAGTGAACACATATTTTTAAGATTAGATATAATTTCATTGTTTCTAATTTCTATACTACTGTGTTATACAATGGGCAATTTCTGAGATGCTTGAAGAAAAAAAACCAATCATAATTCTATACTGAAAATAATTTAATTTAAAGTAATCTCAATTTCTTTCCTTTTCTTGTCCCCAAATGTTGACTTTCAGGTTTGGCTGTGGATCTCTTTGGTGAGCGTATATACTGGGCTGACTTTGAGCTCTCTGTCATCGGCAGTGTTTTGCACGATGGCTCTGGTTCAGTGGTCTCTGTCAGCAGCAAGCAAGGTATGCAAAGTGCTTTCGGTTTTACTTTGTTACTGAGATTATTAATCCATCACACAGACATGTTACTAGAGAAACTGTACACTCTGGACTTCCTCAAATTCTCCTTTCAACTTGCAACACTTATATTAATTAAAATGTCCAACCCTCCTGGGATAACAAAGAAGCCAGGGCAGAAGAGCTCCTAAATTTAGGCAAACATGGGTGGTGGTTGTCCATGCTCAGAAAATAATTTCATTCTGTAAATTATTATATTCTGAGCAAGAGTAGAACATGCCATGTAGTCATGATCAGTTGTATTCAATTCCAATTTTAATTTTTTTAAATTTATTTTTATTTTATGTGTATGACTGTTTTGCCTGCCTGGATGAAACTATACTATGTATGTACAATGTCTGTAGAGGCTGGAAGTGGGCATCAGAGCCCCTAGAACTGGAATTACAGATGCTGTTTAGCTACCATGGGCATGCTGGGAACTGAGTCTAGGTCTTCGGCAAGAGCAGCCATTGCTCTTAACCTCTGAGCCATTTTTGTTCTTTTTTTTTTTTTTTTTAAATTACAATGCCAGTCTGCAGGAAACGGGTCATTGTGATCAGGAAACATCATAGGTAAAGCTGTGGATTTACCCCTCAGGCCAGCAGTGCAGGACCTCCCAGCTCTGTGTCTGTTCTGGTTCCCAGCTGTGCTTTCTCTCCTCTCTCTGGGTCTCTCCCATTTTCTGGTGTCGTCTCTTTGTTTCACACTTTCTTTGTCTGGCCATCAATTCCTTGGTCTGAATTTAATTTGTCTTTTTTCCTCTTCCCTCCCCCAGCCCTTAGCTTGATTTACCACAAACACATTATAAACTTGAAAACTTGTACTGTGATGTTATATTTACTGAATGTAACTTTGCTTCAAGTGGGGTATTTTGTCATTAAAATGAAGAAGCCAAACCAATAATTGAATGGAAATCCCATTGTGCTTTGCTTACTGTGTATGCTTCACTGTTGTCATCCCTGTGTTTTTGGGGACAGGGTCTCACATTGTAATCCAGCGTGGTTTGGAGCTTGCTCAATAGCCCATCTTAGCCTCAGACCCATGACAAGCCTCCTGCCTTGGCTTCCTGATCCCCCAAAGTCTGGGATTACAGGTGTAACAGATCATGTTTAGCAAATGTGTGATACCAGATGGATGGCCCAACATGGAACAAGTCCACATTTCCAGAATTTCTAAATATATGAGCATAGCATATATAATTTATAAATATAAATTTTCTGTTGCAGATGAAATGTACACTGTAGAATGTCAAGAAATATTGAAGGAAAAAAATATATACAAGCATTAAAGTCATTTTGTATTTTATAAATCTTCTATACCATTAGTAAAATATTAATGCTTTGTTGTAAAAACTTTTTTAATTATTATTTTATGTAATGAGTGAATTGCCTTCATGTATGTAAGTGCACCCATGTTGTGCACTGCCCACAGAGGTCAGAAGAGTGCAATGGATTCCCTTGGAACTGGAGTTATGAATGATTGTTAGCTGCCATATGAGAGCTGGGAATTGAACTCAGGTCATCTGCAAAAGCAGCTAGTGCTCTTAACTGCTGATCCATTTCTCCAACCTCTAATGTCTTGTTTTGAATAAAGTATTTTGTATTTCAAAATACTTGTTTTAAAGTTCAGTAGCAAAAGTTAAATTATTTTTGACAAAGTGTTGTAAAATAATATGCAACAAACATGGAAATTAATGATAACTATTATTTTTAGAAAAACTACTCGTGTGATTGCCATTTGCCAGTTTTTTCTCACTTCTAAAGCAGATGATTTTTTTTTTTTTTGTAGGACTGCATTTTGCAGTATTGTCTCACATAGCCCAGCTGGGCTCAAAGTTATGGCTCTCTGTTTCAGCTTCCTGGGGGCTAAGATTATGGACATGTGCCTCCATGCCAACAATTTTTATTTTATTCTTTAAAATCAACTTGTAATTGCATAACAAACCACTAATTCAAATGATAGAATTCAGCTATTAGTTTGATCCTTGATACTGTTTGAGAATTCTGTGAATAGATTGTTGTGTCACAGATGAGAATGGACTTTCTTTTGTCAACAATATAGCCGCGATTACTCAACATGTAATAACCCACAGACAATTCATGGTCATGCTGGAGACACGGTGATGATCAAAATGTTTTGCAATATGTTCTAAGTGTCAAGTTTACCTTTGCAAAGATTCCTACTGAATAATTTAATTCAACAACTTTGTAGCTACCATTAAAAATATTATGATTTTAAAAATTGATTTTTTTAAAAAACAGTAATTAGACCTTGAATACCTTCAGTGTTTGTTTAGCTCTAAATGTATATAAAACAGTTTTTGTTAGCAAATATTAATTGTTAAAATGCTTGGCTTCATTATGATATTTTCATGTATGTCTATAATATATTTTGGTCATATTCATACCATCCTTAGTTCCTCTCTTTTTAAAAATTCCAGGTTTGCTTCATCCACACAGGATTGATGTCTTTGAAGATCATATATATGGAGCAGGACCTAAAAATGGTGTATTTAGAGTACAGAAATTTGGCCATGGCTCAGTAGAGTTCCTAGCCTTAGATGTTGATAAAACAAAAGGTGTTTTGATTTCCCATCAATATAAACAACTAGATTGTAAGTAAAATATATTGAAAATGTCCTTATCCCTCTTATAATAATGTGTTTTAAATACTTTAATTATAAAAATGTCCTTATCCCTCTTATAATAATGTGTTTTAAATACTTTAATTATTTCCATATTTCCAATAAGCTAGATAAATTTTATTTTTACATCATCAGGTTTCTGAAATAATCAAACACTGAATCCCATTTTTTTGCCATCATAAAACACTTTGCCATCATAAAACACTTTGCTGTATTTTAAAGTTAACTATTAAAAATTGTGTTTTATAAAAAAAAAAAATTTTAACCAAAACTTGTAAATTTGTAAATCTACAATGTAGTTATTGAAAGTAATCAACAGCCATTTCTGACTGTTATAAACAACCACGTGACTACAATACCATTAACCCTGCAAGCCTCAAGAATATGCATGGAAATCTCTTTCCAAGACTTGTATTTTCTCTGACTTTTTGTTTATGATTTATTAAAAACAGGAATCTCCAACCTAGAAGGGAGTCAGTAAATAAATCGCTGAGGAAATTGTCTTGAAAATATGTTCCAAACACATTTAAGAACAAAGTAAAAAGTGTTGCCAAAATTGTAACATCCTGCATGTATCAGCTCAGCATTCATGAAGCTGTTTCAGATTTATTTATGGAAAGCCGGTAGCGATTTCATTTTGTTTTATGCAATTATCTTGAAAAATAACAATATCTATCCAAGTCACTAGAAAACATTAAAGTAGAATGTCAAATTTTTAAAAATTCTACCTTTATGTCTTGCTGCCTTTAAAACCAAATGGATATGGTTTTATGGTTAACTGGAGAACCGCCCCCATCTCATCTTGTAGTTCTGTATAATTGATATTTACAGTTAGCCATTGCCAGATTCATCACACATAAAAATTAATCTATTCTAGAAATACAGAAGAGTGTGAGAAGTGGGTCTTTATTTTTTATTTTGCCTGCCTCTGCCCAAGTGCTCGGATGGGAATAAAGGCATGTGCTACCACTCCTAGCAGCCATGTTTTTTATAGATGAAAAGTTCTGTGCACTAGATAGCATCTCTCTTTAATTCTGATGACATAATTTCTAGGAAAGATCAGCTCTGCCCAAAAAAAATGCCTATTAGGTAAAAATTTAGACAAAAATAATCTTGTGCCAAGTTGCATGCACCCAAACTCCTGTGAAGTAGAAACAAATTTAACATATTTCAAATCATATCTTTTGTTTATATTTGAACTTTAAAAATATAAATTTTTGTCTTTGTGAATATCAGGGAATTTGTTTATGTCTCTTAGAACAGTACTCTGAAGATCTAAAATGATGTTTAGATGCCTAACATCTTCAGTTGGCTTTCTTGTAAATACAGTCCTACTATGTACTCCAGGCTCTAGGACCTATTCATTATTTGTTAAGATATATATATATATATA